AAACCAAACCCAAAATACCTCCGTCACATTCCAGTGATTTGAGTAATAGCCCAAGTATATGGCGAGAGATGGTGTGTAAAGGAACGCAGCATCTCTGATAGCAGTAAACAAATCTGGGGGAGTTTGTTTCAAATGTTAGTGTGTATCTGCTGGGGGACCCAGTGGCCACAAGCTCTCCCCTTTTGCCTTCTTAGCCTGAACTGAGCAGTCTGTAAACTTTGATCCTTCCTTTTTTTTCTCTTTCTTTCTTGTAAATTCACAAAACTTTGGAAGGAAACACAATAAATTTTTGCTTTCAAATGGCTTGATCTACCTCTTTGCCTTTGAAGTGCCTTTGAAGTGTATGTCTAACTCCTTGTGAGAGAATCCTGGGCCCTCTAGCCCTTCTTCCACAAAACAAACCAGGCAGTGGTCAGCAGTTACCTTTATTTGGACCAGAGACACCACTCGAGCAATACTGCCAACAATCAGACCAACATGACTTGTGAGCAAACAGACAAAAAGAGGAAACCAAACAGGAACGGTTTCCATTTTCCATGTGTGTTCCCAGGTTTTTGTTTGTTTTTTGAGTTGGCCTTGAATATGAATTTAGAGGAAGCTAAGGAATACCAAGTACTATACCATGAAGAGATCCTAGATTTACACAACAGATGTGTCATGTCCAGCTGCCCCTTGGCTTCGACAGAGAAAAAGCCCAGAAAGATGAGGAAACTATTAGGAAGGGTGAAATTATCTCTCAGGAAGCACACTTCCAGATCAGGTTGGAGATATCAGACCTCAAGGTAAAGGGACTTATGTCAGGTGTCCTGTAAAAGCATAGAAGACTGGGCACCTGGGTGGCTCAGTCAGTTGAGTCTGCTTTCGGCTCAGGTCAAGATCCCAGGGTCCTGGGATGGAGCCCTGCATCGGGCTCCCTGCTCCACGGGAGGCCTGCTTCTCCCTCTCCCTCTGCCCCTCCCCCTGCTTGTGCTCTCTCCCTCTCTCTCTTTCTCTCTCTCAAATAAATAAAATCTTTAAAAAATATATAAATAAATAAAAATGAAATTTAAAAAAAACATAGAAGACTAAGGTTTGGAACAAGAATAAATAAGGAGTGTTAAAAAAAAAAAATCTCTTCTGGGCTGACCTGTTCAAGACAGAAACAAAACACATTCCAGTTTAACCCATTTCTGACTGAAAGTCATACCAGGGCTGACTCTCTAGGAAAAGTAAGTTTAAACCTCTTACAGGGGCACCTGGCTGGCTCAGTTGGTAGAGCATGGGACCCCTGGATCTCAGGGTGGCAAATCCGACCTTCACTTTGGGTATAGAGATTACTTAAAAATAAAGTCCTTAAAAATAATGAATTAATTAATTAGAAAAAAAACGAACCTCTTGCACAATACTTTTCCTCCAGGGGTGGGGGCAAGAAAACATGATATCGGGGCACCTGGGTGGCTCAGTCGTTAAGCATCTGCCTTTGGCTCAGGTCATGATCCCAGGGTCCTGGGATCGAGCCCCACATCGGGCTCCCTGCTCCGCGGGAAGCCTGCTTCTCCCTCTCCCACTCCCCCTGCTTGTGTTCCCTCTCTCGCTGTGTCTCTCTCTGTCAAATAAATAAATAAATAAAATCTTTAAAATAAATAAATAAATAAAATCTTTTTAAAAAGATCTTTTAAGAAAGAAAGAAAGAAGGAAAAAGAAAACATGATATCGTTTTTAACGAATGTTAAAGAGGCATAATTTTGAGTTTAAAAGTGGCCTGAAAAATCCCGCTCTTCATTTCGTCAATTAGTGATATGCTGTAGAAAATCATGAGTCAGGGGTTCAGCCACATGTATATTGTGGGTCAAAAGACTCACGAGCATTCCAAACAGACCATGTTTCTTGGAAGTCTATGCAGTTTCTGATCTGGTCCTGCTCGCAATGGAACTCGGGCACACAGTGAGGTATTGGGCACTGCTTCCCAATAACCTCGCCCACAGCCCTCTGTCCATCCTCCAGTGACACGTCCTTAGAAGGTGAGGGTTCGATGTGGCTCCTGCCAGGGGCTTCCTCCTGTGTGCTGCTGCTGGTGTGTTTCAAAAGCTCCTGAAGACATAGATTCTGAGCGGTTTTCCTCACACTGGGTCCAACAGGAGACTGCCCCGTGGGCATCTCCACCCTGGGCCAGTGGTTATTTCTTTCTTCTTTTTCTTTCTTTTCTTTTCTTCTCATACTTGTAGGAGGAGCTCTGCAACACAAAAAGCAGAAGCATACGAATGAGAAACTAGGAGGCAGAGACACACAGAAGGGTTAGATGTTCATGGAAAGTCTTAGGTCCTTGTCCTTTGAAACCACCGGCTGCAGAGAAGGCCTCAAATAGAAATGTGGAGAGAGCCGGAATTCGAGTTGTCACGGTCACGGTGTGAACCCGAGTAGAAGGGGGTGCGGATCCCCTTGCAGCCTCATTTGGAGAAGCCTCATTTGGAGAAGGCATATGTGGCAATGGGAAAGAAAGCAGCTGAAACAGAAGCTGGCAAAACAGTCAGGACTTAAAGCACGCTGGGCGGTGCCGTAGCAGAAAGTCTTTGAACTCCTCAGGAATCCTCTGCAGCAGGTTTCTCAGGTGAGCCCAGAGAGAGTTCTTGGGGCACCACCTGCAGGTCAAAGAGGGAGCGTGCTGGGCGTGGGAGAGGAGGGTAGAGGCCCATCTCAGTAGCCACTCCTGGGCAGCGCTGGTACTGAGAGCCCCCATCATCCGCTGGTTGTGGCCTAGCAGAAGCCAAGGCTGCACTCACCGAGAATGCCCAGGAGCGACGTGGGCCTCAGCCTGCACTGCATCCCAGGACTCCGAGCATTGTTAACCAAGGGAAGTTCAGACAAAGTAAGGAGACAGAGCCAGTGAAGAGATCTGCACAACTCCAAGGCATTGGTACTTATCCACGTATAGACGTGCAGATCAGCAGAAAGAAGGCTAGAAACCCAACAGAAAAAAATGGACAACGGATATGAACAGATAGTTCGCAGAAGAGGGAACCACCATGACTGCCAAGTCCAAGAAGAGCTATTCAAATTCCCCAGTTGTCAGAGGACCCAGATGGAAATTAGTAACCACTTCAGATTCATCAGATTAGTAAGCATTTGAAAGCTGGAATACCAAGTGCTAAGAGAAAACCGGAACCCTCATGGTGAGTGTGACAATTCATCCAGCCACCCGGGAGAGCATCTTGGGTGCTTTGTGAAGTCAAGGGTATGTGTACCCTATATGGCCTGGAAGTCCTACTTCAAGAATTCTCCCACCATCCATAAGGAGGTAGCATAAAGGTGTTCGTGGCACTGATGTCACAGGGGCATTGAGGCCAAGCTAAGCGTGCATCCCTGAAGGGTGTGGTGGGTAATAAACGTGCTTGCTGGATGCTCAACATGGTACAGTATATGCGACTGGTAGAAGCAATGAATGAGACGCATATGGAAACCATGAGTGTTGAGTGTAAAAAATGCAAAAATGTAAACAACAGAATGAGTTTTATACACGACACCATGTTTGCAGACATCCACATAGGAGCCAAGCCACGTGTAGTAGAGAACTGGGCAGGGTGCATGGAAGCTGACTGCACACACTGAGACAGCCCCGGTTTTTAGCGGTGACGTGTCATAAACTGAGAAGTAGGACTGATTCGACTCTGTCCGTGAGGTCATACAATGAAGTGTGGTGGGTGGAGGATGAGCACCCCGGGAGCTAGGTGAGCTTGGGTCCCCAATTCTACCACCCGTAAGCATTTGAGATTTTGGCAAAGCATTCGTTCATTCATTTCATCCACAAATATTTAAGGAACCTCTACTCAGTGCCAAACACTGTTCTAGGCACTGTGGACACAGTGGTGAATAAAACCATGTAAAGTAAGTTAAGTTCAGGTAAGTGCTGTGTAACGTGAAACTGACTTTGGATTGTATAGTCAGGGACGGCACCTGTGAAAGGTGACATTTGAACAGGGACACAGATGATAAAGACCCAGTTGTGAAAGAGCAAGGTTGAGTGCTTTCCAGGTATAGGGAACAGCATGTGCAAAAGTCCTCAGGTGAGAATACTTTGGCCTGTGTTGCAGAGTGGCTGAAAGAGGGGCAGAGGAGGCTTGATGAGATCGGATAGGTACACAAGGACCAGAGCGTTCACAGCTTTCTGGGCCTTAGTCAAAAAGAGCTCAGATATCATTCCAACCACAATGGAAAACCAAGGGACGGTTTTATACAGAGTGACTTAGCCTCATACTTAAATTTTTTTTTTTTTTTTTTACTTAAGAATAACACACAGAGAGGGGCACCTGGGTGGCTCAGTCCTTGGGTGGCCAATTCTTGGTTTCTGCTCAGGTCATGATCTCGGGGTCCTGGGATCAGGCGACCTGGGGCTCCTCGCTCAGCGGCGTCTGCTTGTGGATTCTCTCTCTCTCTCTCCCTCTGCCCCTTTCCCTGCTCTCGCCCTCACGCTCTCTCTAATAAATGAATAAATCTTTTAAAAAAATAACACAGAGAGAAAAAGATCAGATATATTTTAAAAAATCACTTTGGCTGCTGAGTAGACACTGGGTTGGAGGAGTGGAAGTCACATAAGCTTTCTTGAGCCTCAGTTTCCACATCTGCGGTGGTGAGAATACCCATCCCGTGCAGATCAGCGGTGAGTCAGGGTGGCGACACAGTCTGGTCCCAGGAGTCTCTTTGGCACTCGAGGCGCGGGCTGGGATGCAGAAGGCCCCATCTCGGGCCTGGGAGGCTGGCGCCCTAGCTACCCCCTCCAAGTCCATGACACAGACCTGGGAATTGCGAGGCAATCCCGCTGTGGCTCACGAAGGCGACCGCTGGGAGGCGCCGCGGCTCCTGTGCAGTCCCCAAAGGAGGCCCCGCCCACTGGTCCGCTCGGCGCTCGGCAGCTCGGGCCTGCTGCGGGCGAGCGGGGGCGGGGCCGTTACGTGAGGGCGGGGCCTCGGCCGGGGCGCCGGACAGTCGCGCTCCCAAGACTACGGCCCGGGGCGGGGCCTGCGTGCGGGGGCGGGACCGCGGCGCTAGGGGCAGGCGGGCGCCGATGGCGGCGGCGAGGGGCACCTGAGCGGGCCGGGGCCATGAGCGCCACCCGGCCCCAGTTCAGCATCGATGACGCCTTCGAGCTGTCTCTGGAGGACGCGGGCCCGGGGCCCGAATTCAGCGGAGTCGCCCGCTTCGGCCCGCTGCACTTCGAGCGCCGGGCCCGGTTCGAGGTGGCCGACGAGGACAAGCAGTCCCGGCTGCGCTACCAGGTGAACGGCCCGGCCCACCTCAACCCCAGCCCGGGTCCGGGCGGGACCCCAGGCCGGACCCTGGAGAACCCCAACTCAAGGGAAAATCTGTCTAGAGGCCCCAGCCTACGTGGCCACTGATCCAGGGCCCTGCCCAGACCCTCTCAGCTCTGATTTTGCTCCCCAGCCACCACTGGAGAGCCCAGAACCGGAACCCGGGATCAAGTCTCCTAGCCCCAATTGGAAATCCCACCGGGCGTCCCCACCCATCCTGGGTACTGACCTAACCCCCATCCCTCTGGGCTGGAGAGCTCTCTGTACCTGATCCAGACCTCCCACTAAACTAGAAATCTCCATTCTCCCTAGAGGACTTCCACCAACTCTAGGATTCTTTTTTTTGGAGACGTGTACCAGATTCCTGTGCCCCAAACCTGGAAACCATGGGCTTCTGCCCTTCCTTGGCACCCCAAATCCAGAGCCTCCATACTGGGCCCCTGAAATACCATTCCGAAAGGTCCACCCTGACTCCCAAACTTGGGAGAACTCCTGGCCCTGAGACCCATGTGAGGAGCCCTCAACCAGCCCCTGTGGTCCCTGCCACCCCCTGACCCCCCAAGCCCCAGCACCCACCTCCTACCTGGGTTTCGGTTTCTGTGAATCATCAAACCCGTTTTGCGGGAGGGTGGAGGGCCAGGTGAGCAGCTGTCAGGCGGCCAGGCAAACAGCTGTGTGGCCTTGCTCTCCTCCTCTCCCTGAGAAGGGTGTAGGAAGGGCCTGGGCCCAATAACCCCTCTGAGCCCTGTGTTCTGGAATAGAACCTGGAGAACGATGAGGACGGAGCCCAGACCTCTCCGGAGCCGGATGGAGGAGTCAGCACCAGGTCAGGGCCAGGTGGGGACCCACCCTGCACCTCTAGCCCTATGCTCCTGGCTCCTGTCCCCCAGGTCCCTGGCCAGCCTTCCACCTCACATCAGTCAGCTCTCTCACATCCTGTTCTACAAGGATTCCCTAGCCTGATCCCCACTCCCCTCATGGGTTCCCTTGTCCTGCAGCGTCACCCTACCCCAGTGCCAGCCACACCCACGCCCCCCTACCAGGCTCTTTATCCTGAAGAAACCCCCCAGCCTGGTCTGGCCCCTACCTCTCCACAGGTCACCTGTCCTGCAGGAATCCCTAGCTTGAATCCTCAGCCTTTCTCCACCCTCAGTCCTGCAGAGACCCCCAGCCCTTGGATTCGTCACCCTGTCCCCTCTCGGTGGCCCCATCCCGCAGGAACACCCAGCCCTAGTCCCTGCACCATCCCCCACCACATCATCATGACCCCTTCCTTGCTTCCTCTGCCTCTCACTGGGCCCACCTGGCCTGCAGGGATTCCAGCCGAACGTCCATCCGCAGCTCCCAGTGGTCCTTCAGCACCATCAGCAATAGCACCCAGCGCTCCTACCATGCCTGCTGCAGGTGAGACCCTGTCCTGCTTAAGCCCCCTGTGCTCTGTGCCCCAGAACAGGCAGCCTGGGCTTTCTCCCTCAGTCCTCTGGGTGGGGAAGGGTAACAGGAGGGAGTTGGGCTCCTGTCACCTCTCACACCCATCCTGCTCTCCCGCCACCCAGCTGGACTCAACACCCTTTGATCCAGAAGAACCGCCGGGTAGTGCTGGCCTCCTTCCTGCTCCTGCTGCTGGGGCTGGGTGAGTGCCCTGAGGGTCTCCTGCCTACCCCAGGAGCGGTCCGGCCTCCCTTTGTGCCGGCTCAGCATCCCCCTTGGCACACCGGGCCTCCCTGCATCCCGAGCAGGCAGCTGGCTGCCATCACCCCACGCCCATCTTACAGGTGAAGAAACTGAGGCCTTGGGAGGAGCGGGCCCAGTCTCCTGGTCGCACAGCCAGGATATTACACGTAATTGAAAATGGAACTTGATTCGGTGCTCCAAACTTTTTTTTCTTTCTTTTTTCTTCTTTTTTTTTCTAAGCCCATGTAATCCATCAGGGAGCAGAAGAGTAATAGTTCTACCATTTATTCTGTGTCTACTTCGAGCCAGGTGCAGGGGAGGCTTATTTTCCTGCCTTACGGAGGTCACAGAGCAAGAGGGAGGCAAGGCCATGACCCAGAACCTGTGTAGGGACAGGTTCTCAGAGATATCCCTGCCAGCCCTACCCCTAGAGCACCTGTCATTTCCCCTTCTCTGGAGTCTGAGCGCGGATGAGGACCTCTCCCCGCTCCGCACTGGGCACATCCATTGCCCAGATGGGGAAACTGAAGCCCAGAGCAGGCAGATCTCGCAGCCAGATGTTTTTGGACTCATTCTATGGGGCTGAGGCCTCAGGATCCCCAGAAAGGACAAGGTTGGGATCAAGAGGGACCCATAAGGACAGCCCAGCTGTGACAGCTGCTCTCCCTGCTCTGGGATGATCAGAGACCCCTGGCCAGAAAGCTGAGCAGCAGCCTTGCCTCAGCTCTGGGTGTCTGTGTGCAGGGAGGTATGGGGGGAGGGAGTCATCGCTTCTCCAGCAGCCACTGCAAGCTGGGCACTGGTCACATTGGCCACCTGCCTTACCCCTCTCATTCTGTCAGTACCCATGAGGCCAAGCATTATTACCATCCCGGTTCAGAAGTAAGTACAGAGCCTCAGGCAAGTAAAGGGACTTGCTCAGACCTCAGCTGAGTAGATGAGCTGGGATTTAAACCCACATCACGGACAGTACCAGGCCTGGAGGCCTCCATAGACCTATTAAGGGCCTTTGGAGGAATTAGAAAAAGATGCCTCCTCTGAGTGGGCAGGGCCCCCAGCCCTAAGCCAAGGTGGCAGGTAGTGTATCAGCCCCAGTCCGTACCCTTTTTGAGGTGCTCTGTGCAGGGCACAAATCCCATAGCAGTCCATGGTAGCCCCTCAAGTCTCCGTGCTATATTGCCCCCTTGCTGCAGAGCCTGGGTCCCCCACCTCCCCCCAATCCCATCTTCTAACTGGGGACCCAGGACTCTCTCCGGGTCTGAAAAGTTGATCCAGCCATGACTTCCCCAACACTCACTGTCCTCAGCCAAAGTCCACATCCCTCACCGGGTCTCCAGGCCCTGCCAAACACCTCAAGCCTGGGTTCTTGCCTCTCCACTCTTGCCAAAAGCAGGAAGCTCCTAGAAAGCCCCAAGTTCCCTCCAGACGCTGGGCCTTTGCCATGCTGCTCCCTCCATCTGGAGCACTCCTCTCCTTTTCTGCCCGCATGATGCCCACAGCAAAGCGTCTGGAGTCAGATCGCCTCCTCCTTCTGAATGCAGCTCCTTGTGCCTCAGTTTCATCTTCTGTGAAATGGGGATGATCATACCTGTTTCATTCAGTCACACTGATAATAAAGCAGTGCAGGTAACAAGCTTAGCCCAGTGCCTGGCAGCACCTGGTAAGTGGTAACTAAATGTTACCTGCTGTTGGTACTGCTACCCCTGCTCAGTTTCGTCGCCACTGCCTCCAAGAAGCCCCTCCCTGATGCCCCAAGGCTCCCGTGCTGCCTGATCTGGCCTTTGGGGTTGTAGCTTGGAGGTTCTTGTTGGTTGCGCCACTAGGCAAGGGCCATGAGAGCAAGGACCTCATTTGCCTTTCCTTGTGGGATTCTCAGTACCAGGCACACAGCAGGTGTTCCATAAATATTTGTTGATTGACTGAAAGGCCACATCAAGGAGCAGAGACAAATCTGGTTTCGGATATTTCCCAGGGCCTGCCGGGTGCCCTGCTCTGAAAACACAGAGCTTGCTGAGCTTCCCTGGAAGGGTCTCTGGCTAGGGAACCTTCAGCTCAGGTGGGGGACTATTCCTAGGACCTAAGCCTTTCTGGGGGTTGTGGGTGGAGGTCCCCGCCCTGCCCCCAGCGCCTGCCCCCACCTCCCGCCCTCACCCTCGCGGCTCCATCTGTGTGCAGTGCTGATCCTGATCGCCGTGGGACTGGAGGTGGCCCCCTCGCCAGGTGAGCGTCCCCTCATACCTCTGCTGGCAGCGGGGGTTCCCCTCAAGGAAAGAACTCGGGGACCCGCGAGCCCCCAGCCCCCTCGGAAGTTTGCTTCCACCCTCCTAGCAGGAAACGGTCCCTTCTACCGCGGAGAGTGAGACTAGCCCAGGCAGGGACCCCTGAGCTCCGCCCCGTGCCCCCCCATCCTTGATTCGGCCCCTCCTCCGGCAGGTGTCTCCAGCGCCATCTTCTTCGTGCCCGGCTTCCTGTTGTTGGTTCCCGGAGGTGCGAAAGGGCTCCGGGGCGGGGCGGGGCGGGGCGGGGCGGGGCCTCGGCGCTGACCGGCCCCGCCCCGCAGTCTACCACGTGATCTTCATCTACTGCGCGGTCAAGGGCCACCGGGGCTTCCAGTTCTTCTACCTGCCCTACTTCGAGAAGTGAGCTGTGGGCGGCCGGCCGGGAACCAGCCTCGTCTCCGAGCGGCCCCAGGGGGCGCTCCTCGGGTCCGCCCCGCTCTGGTTCCCTCATCTCCAGGGAAGAACTCCGGGACCCGGGAGCCCCCAACCCCCTCAGAAGTTTGCTCAGGAAGTTTGCCCAATACCCAGGCCTGGAAAAGTTGCCCCTGGCCTGTTCTGTGCCTTAACTTATTCTCGGGCCCTGGGGCTGCTGGGTTGGTGGTGTTTTGTGCTAATAAAAGAATGTGCTTCATTCCAGAAGAGACCACTGAGATCTTTCTTTCCCAGCCCACCAGCCTGGCCACCCGCTCCCGCAAAAACTGAGGAAAGGGCTGATGGAGCTGAGGGGTCCAGGACCACCCATTTTCTCATTGTACCCGTGACAGTCCTGATGCTCCTAAGACTTGCTCCTGCGCTTTTGGGGCAGAGCTGGGCCTGGGACTCTGTGCTGCAAGCCTTTTGGAGGTCCTTCCAGCCTCCCATCTCCTCCAGCCCTTAGCAGAGTTGGCCCTGCCCATTCTCTACCTGGAGGCTCTGGCCAAGGGCACTCAGATGACGCAGGCCTGGGGCCTGGAGGCTGGTATCCTGGTTGCAGCCTGGCTCTGGGGCCCTGGGCTGCCACAGCCAGCTCTGAATGTGGGCCATGACAAGGCAGCAGCCCAGCCCTCTCCGCCCACTGCCCTACTTCCCAAGTCCTGGGATTGGGAGAAGTAGGGGCAAAGACTAATGGGAAACGGGGCCCATATCACAGAACCTCAGTGATCGAAGACTCTTAGAACCACCGAACATCGGAAACAGGCCATCTCAGACTTTTGGAAAACCCAAGCATCTCAGAATCTTGAGAGCCAGGAAATAGAATCTTCGAGAACCCTGAAATCTGGAATCCTAATAGCTACCATTTATCAAGCTCTTAGAAGGCAGCAGGTCCTGTGCTAAGCACTTAACACAGGTGATTTCTGATAATTACCACCTTAGCCCCATTTTACAGATGAGGAAACCAAGGTCCAGAGAGACTGATTCACCCAGGGGCAGCATTAGGAACATAACCCAAGGCTTCCATGACACCTGGGTGTGGGAGGGAGAGGAGAGGATACAGAGCACGTGTGTCCCCAGCTGACCACCCAAGGGGCTGGCTGAAGGACTATGGGCTGAGGTGGATCCTGTTCATATACTTAGATGTTTACAGTAAACCATGAGTGCCGTTGAGAAGAGATGTGGCCTGGCCTTCACTGTGTCTGCAGCAGCCAGAACAATATCTGTAGATTTCTGTGACTTTGTTGAAAGAATTAACCCCCCAGACCTGCTCTTCTGGCCCACCCAGATTTCCCACCCTCAGCCCCTCAACCCCCAGTCAAGGCACTTTTAAGGGTACCAGTTGGATGCAGGAATTCCTAAATCAGTGGTTCTCAAACTAGCTCTGGTAAAGGACCAGTTTTCATTTCTAATCCATCATGGACCAGTACTTTGGCAAGATAAAATAAAACCTGGGAAAGTGAAATAAAAAAAGACATATAGAAAATAAGCCCACAATCTGTATTACCAGACTAATCAGACATAAAATTACATTTCAATGAATATAATCAGAACAAACACAGGGAAAAAGGAAGATTATGGAAACCATTCATTGTGAGCAAATAGGCAATTAATACAGAGTTGCTACTATGCTCATAACTTTTTGTCATTCCACAATCTTAACTAAACAGGAAATTATTCCGGAAGTTGTGAGTCTCTATATTATAAGACTACAGCAGGTATCAGCAAGTGATAGCCCACAGACACAATATGGTCCCCAAGCTAAAAGTGGTTTTTACATTTTAGTAATGGTTGGGGGGAAAATTAAGAATAATACAATTTCATGACACATAAAAGTTGATAAAATTCAAATTTCAGTGTCAGTGAATCAAGCTTAGTCAATTAATTACGAAATTTCCAGCCCAGCCACACCTATTGGTTTCTATGTTGGCCATGGCTGCTTGGGGATACAGAGCTGAGCAGTCGTGACAGGAACCACATGGTCCTCCAAGCCTAAAATCTACACTGGCCTCTTACAGAAAAAGTTGACCAATCCCTGGTCTATGTGAACACATTGACAGAACACTGAATCACAACATTTAAAGTTTCATCATGACCAATGTGCTTGATTTTTGCTGGTTAATTTATGTAATCCAAACTGGATTGACACTAACACTATCCTCAGGGAATAATGAATATCTAAACTCTAAATGTAACTTCTTTCTTTGTTGAAAAATACATCGAGGGGCATCTGGGTGGCTCAGTTGGTTGAGCGACTGCCTTCAGCTCAGGTCATGATCCTGGAGTCCTGGGATCAAGTCCAGCATCAGGCTCCCTGCTCATCGGGGAGTCTGCTTCTCCCTCGGACCCTCCCCCTTCTCGTGCTCTCTCTCTCGCTCTCGCTCTCTCTCAAATAAATAAATAAATTTTTTTAAAAGAAAAAAGAAAAATATATCAATAGTTGTGTCCAGACGAAGAACATTAGATTTCCTCAGTGAATTGTGACTCATTTTATCCCTAATGCTTTTTGCCTCATAGCCCATTTCTGTCTGCTATGGCTGTATTTTTTTTTTTAAAGATTTTATTTATTTGAGAGAGAGAGAGAATGAGAGATAGAGAGCACGAGAGGGAAGAGGGTCAGAGGGAGAAGCAGACTCCCTGCCGAGCAGGGAGCCCAATGCGGGACTCGATCCTGGGACTCCAGGATCATGACCTGAGCTGAAGGCAGTCGCTTAACCAACTGAGCCACCCAGGCGCCCTGCTATGGCTGTATTTATACGAGCTTCCTTTGGTTCATTTTCTCCTAGTAAATCTGTTTTCCAAGTCATCACTTTTGGCCTTTTGATTCTTGTTATGCTCTTAGATCCTGCACTCAGCTGTGGGGAAGAACCTGGTATCTGCCCTTTGGTGTCTGCTCTCTGCCTTTACAGTAGAAGGACCTCTGGTCTTTAGCTGGGCATGTGGCTGCCCCAAATAAAGACTGCATTTCCCAGCATCCTTTGCAGCTACATGTACCAGGTGAGGAGCCCTACCCAATGGGGTATGAGTGGTTCACATTCTTTGTCCCCCTTTGTCCTTTGTTCCTGCCTCCAAACCTGCCACCTGGAAAATGAACAAACTTGGGCATACCCCAGGAATGGCAGGGCGGCTAGCAGGAACTTCGGTCCCTGAAGACCATACAGCTGGATTTCACTTAATAAACTTCTATCCCTTTAAAGCATTGTTATTTGGGATCTCTGTCAGTTACAGGAAACCCAGTCTCATACTGAAACTTTCCTCTGGGGCTGAGACTCTCTTTTAACCAGAAACGTAATTTACTCATAATTATTGGAATTTTTATTTTTTAAGGATTATCCCTACCTTCTGTTTTTTTGTGTGTGTCTTTTTTTAAAGTAGGCTCCATGCCCAGCGTGGAGCCCAACTCGGGGCTTGAACTCATGACCCTGAGATCAAAACCTGAGCTGAGATCAAGAGTTGGATGCTCAACTGGCTGAACTACTGAGCACCCCTTCCTACCTTCTGTTTTAATGTTTTCATGGACTTTGTTTTTCTTTACCTTTTTTTCCCTCTTCTGTAGCCTTCTACTGGTTTAATCAAGAATTCTTCAATTTCGGGGCACCTGGGTGGCTCAGTCGGTTAAGCGTCTGCCTTGGCCCAGGTCGTCATCACAGGATCAATCCCCGCATCGGGCTCCCTGCTCAGCAGGAAGCCTGCTTCTCCCTCTCCCTCTGCCTGCCACTCTGCCTGGTTGTGGTCTCTCTCTCTGTCAAGTAAATAAATAAAATTAAAAAAAAAAAAGAATTCAAGGGGCGCCTGGGTGGCTCAGTTGGTTAAGCGACTGCCTTCGGCTCAGGTCATGATCCTGGAGTCCCGGGATCGAGTCCCTCATCAGGCTCCCTGCTCAGCAGGGAGTCTGCTTCTCCCTCTGACCTTCTTCCCTCTCATGCTCTCTCTCTACCATTCTCTCTCTCTCTCTCAATAAATAAATAAAAATCTTTAAAAAAAAAAAGAATTCTTCACTTTCCCTCTATGGATTTGACTCTTGAACAGAGCATTCTATCTCTCTTTCTATACATTAATGATTACCTTTAAATGGTTAACAAATTCTAAAGCTGATCAGTGAATCTATCCTCCTCTAGGAAAGATGAGAAAAAGATTTCAGCATGTCTAAAGTATCCCCTCCCATCTTCCATTTTGTCTATTATTTTAGTCCGTCCTTTATTTTTAAAATCCTCCAAATTAACTTTTTTTTTTTACAGTTAATGCTTCTTTAGATCCACCAATATGTTTACTGATCGCTTTCCTAACCATAATTTAGTACATTCTCTGCCTTCGTTCTGGTCTGAATTTCCTTCTTACGGAGGCCATCCCTTCAATGAGAGCATGTGGGTGGGAAACTCTTCCCAGCCTTTGTTTCCTGAAAAAAGTAGATGTTTTCACCTTCATTCTTGAAGAATGATTCAGTGAGGTATAGGCTTCTTGGTTGACAATCATCTCTCCTCTGCATGATGAACAGTTTATTTCATTGCCTTCTGGCATTTACTGTAGCCAATGAAAAGTCTTCGCAGAGCCTAATTGCTGTTCCTGGGTAAGTCATCTGACTTTTGTCTCAAGTTGATTGTTTATAGGGTTTTCCTTTTGTTCCTCTGGAATGCATCTAGATATACATTTGTTTTTATTTCTCCTTCTCAGGCTCTAGTGGGTACCTTTGATCTGGGGGCTTGTCTTTGTGGAAGCCTTTATGGAAAAGTTTCAGCTATCATGTCTTTGAGTATTGTCTCCTGCCCACTCTGTGTAGTTTCTCTTTCTGAGACTCCTAATGACTTTTAACTACTCTGTAATATTTTCCATTAGTTTATCCCTCAGTGCTACCTTATGGGTGATTTCTCAGATGTAGCTTCCAGTTCATTAATCTTCTCTTGAATTGTGTCTAATCTGCTGTTTAACTTATCCCTTGATTTTTTTTTTTCATTCCAATGGCGATATCCTTTATTTTTAGAAGTTCTATTGGGTCTTTTTTTTAATCTTCCTGTTCTGTTTCATACTATCCTGCTACTGCATATTGACCTCTTTCCCCTCTTTTATCTCATTTTTGTTTGCATTTACTTTATGGTCCCTTTCAGATTGTTCTATTATATTTTGGGGTGCTGATTCTCCTGTTTGTTGCGTCGGCCATGTCCCCCTCATGGTGACTTGTTTTCTTACGTGATTTGTAATTTTTTGTCATGAGTTCATCTTCAGAAGTGACAGGGTTGTTGTCTGTTTAAGTACATTGTGTCCTGGGTTGAAGACTGCCCTTCTAGTAGTTTCTCCTTCTTTCTTCAGCTTTCCTGCCTAATGTGTAAGCCTGAGTTTCAGGTTCCTTAGGGCAGCTTTTTCCACTCAAGGCCCTGGACACCTGTACCCTTGCCACTTCCTCAGGCTGGTAGGTGGAAATATATTTTGATCCCCTTTTCAAGAACAGGGTAGCCCTTTGAGGCCCTGGAAGGTACTCGGGCTCATGTTCTGTGCCTCAGCCTCTTACAGGTCTTCTTTCACTCATAAGTGTCAGAGCCCAGGCTCCCGAACCTCTCTCCATGGCTGAGGCCCCCATGGCGTCCCCTCTCTCCCACCACCCAGCTCTGAGTTCTTGCTTTGTCTTTAGTACCGGGGGTTATCCCTGGCTTTCTTTCAAGTTAAGCTTTTTTTTTTCTTTTTAACATTTTTACACAAGTAGTGGGAGGCACCCAGCCACCCTCCCAATTAGCCATATTACCAGAATCCCCCCAACTCCTTCCCCTGTCTTTGAATGCTATAGTGCCAGGGAGCTTGCTACCTCCCAAGGGTCTGGAGAGATCCAAATCTTGCTCATACTGGAGAATGATAGGCCACTGGGTGCAGGTTTCCTCCAGGCAGCTCAGGTGGGAGGAAGGTGAGGATGTAGGTAGGTGGGTGACATCACAAGGCAACTTTCCAGCCAGATGTTGCCAAGGGTCCAAAGAAGCCTGGGAGCTGCTTGGTCTCTTCCATTCTGGGGCTTCGTGGGGAGGGTGTACAGCATGAACCCTGCTGGCCTGGGGCCAGAGGGGCAACACATTCTCCCTTCTGGAGCCTCAGTGGGTGAGAAGCATCATCACAAACTCTGGAGGAAAGAAGGGGCAGGGCTTGGGCCAGTCCTGATCAGGAATCCCAGGAAATGCTGGGCTCCCCCTGGGCGCTGGAGGGGTGGGGGCTGTCTGGGAAGGAGACTCACCATCAAAGTCTACGGTGCCATCCCCATTGAGGTCCACGTCTCGGAGCATCTCGTCCAGCTCAGGACCCACCAGTGGCTCCCCCAGCAGAGCCGGCGCTGCCTGTCGCAGCTCTGCCACTGTGATCCGTCCATCTCTGTCCCTGTCAAACTAGGGTTCCAGCAGGGCTCAGCCCCTCCCACCCAAAACTGGCTCTGCCTGACACGTCTCCATCTTGCCACGTCCTGTGCCTGGATGCCCCCACCTCCGCCCATCCAAACCCTCCACCTCCTCCCAGGCCTAGACACAGGCCCCCTGCTCCAGGAAGTCTCCTTGGGTGGATCCCACAGCTGAGAGTGAGCTGGAGCCTCTCCAACCCCTCCCTGGCCCTAGCCAGGGCTGTGGGCCTCCAGAGGTTGAGGCCCCAGGCTCTCTGGCCTGGATGGGAGACCAGCAAGTCTGCTGTCCAGCCACCCACCCAGCACCCGACTCGACCACTCTCCACACCTCTCGGAAGGCGATGCGCAGCTCCCGCACCCCCAACATGTGCGCTGTCTCCTCCCTCAGCTTTGGGCTCATCAATTCCACAAACTCCTCGAAGTCCACGCGGCCACCCACTGCGGACCCAGGCAGAGCATCACAATGGAGAGGGCTGGGCCCGAGGAGGGATGTCACAGGTGTCACAAGCACCAGCCTCTCCCCAGCTCTGCATCCAAGCCCTTGGGGGGAGGGGGGAGGAGGCGGGAGACCCGTTCTCCATGGGAATGACGGGGCGAGGTGCTTGGGTGCTCTCGGTGAAGCACCGAAGTGTGAGGGAAGGAGACCAAGGTTTGGAGCCAGGCAGCCCCAGATTCAAACTCTGTCTCTGCTGCCAAAGGGGCATGGCCTTGGGTGACTCGTGAACCCTCCTTCCTCATCCTGGGGCGAGGATGAGAGGACCCACTCTTTTTTTTTTTTAAGATCTTATTTATTTGAGAGAGAGAGAATGAGAGATAGAGAGCACGAGAGGGAAGAGGGTCAGAGGGAGAAGCAGACTCCCTGCCGAGCAGGGAGCCCGATGCGGGACTCAATCCCGGGACTCCAGGATCATGACCTGAGCCGAAGGCAGTCGCTTAACCAACTGAGCCACCCAGGCGCCCGAGAGGACCCACTCTTGAGTGCTATTGGGGTCGCAGTTCGCGGCTCTTACGTGCTGGGCCCCCATTGGCAGCAATAAATACCCTTTAAGGAGCATGCCCACGTAGTCCCTTGATTCTAATTGTAAAAAAGCACCAATAGCCAAATAGCAGCTTTGGGGGAAAGAAAAGAAGCATAGCACTTAATGTTCACATCACTTGTAAGTCACATCCCATTTTGGAGACCATAGAAAAAGCAAATGCAGGTGTTCTGGAATGAAAGGAATCTGATATTTGTCAAATTAGCTAATGATAATCACAAGTGCCCGTCCATCCGACACTTAATCACAAGGAAAGGCCAGGGTTTGGTCACATTAGGCCTCAGGAGGTTCTTTTCAGGGGCCTAGGGAGTCAGAGAGACAGAGACAGAGAGCCAGCTGCCTAGTACCAGCAGGGAGCATTTTACCACACGTATCACAGGACAGAGGGGGTCCTCAGCTGAGCCCCAAGGGTCTCTTGGATCACTGGTACCTTTCACGACCCCTGAATCTGCCAAGGCTAATGTCAGATGGTCAAAATGCCCTAGAAACCGTCACACACTCCCACCATCACCCCCGCAGACTCCCAGAGCCACCTCCCACCACCCCCTCGTCGTCCCCCAAACCATGAGACTCAGAGAGGCCCAGGGCTGCCCAGCCTCGGCACGAAGCCAGGAGACTCGTGCCCCACCCCGCCCTGGGGCGGTGGGGGTCAGCCACTGACTCCGCATCTTGACGTGCTGGGAGACCTCGATGAGCTCCATCTCGGTGGGCATGTAGCCCAGCGTCCGCATGCAGGCGCCCAGCTCCCGGTAGCCGATGTATCCATCACAGTCAGTGTCAAACTCCTCAAAGGCGGCCTGCAGCTCTGCAGGGGAGGGACGTCAGGCCCAGGCCACCGGCTCAGGGATACCGCCCACCCGCCACTGCCGCCAGCAAGGGCCACTCACCATCCAGCTCCTCGGGGCCCAGCTCGCGGTCCTGCAGAGGCACAGTCCAGCATATCTCTGGGGCCCATCTTTCCTCCTCCAGCCCTGGGCCACAACGGCCTGGGCAGGGCCAGTCCCACCAGGGCAGGAGAAGGCAGCTGAAGTCCCACAGGCCCCCAGAGAAAGGATGACCGCCCCCCCCTTCCTGCTCGTGGGGCCCAGAGCTCTCACAGAATGCTGGGTTTGAAGTCTGGCTCTGCCCACTCCCCAACCCTTCCCCCAAACCGCAGAAACCCTGCCCCTACGGCTCAGGCTCCTGGGTCTGGAGCAGAGGTGGCAGGAGGTCTGAGTACCAGGGACACGGTGGGCTAAGTCCAAGGGCACAGGTGTGATCCCCGCCCCACCCCCACCCCCGTCCCCGGCCTGGGTCCCCCTGACCTTCCCGAAGATGCGATTGAGTAGGGGCCCGTAGGTCTTCTGAGCAGCGTCGTGCTGGGGGACGGGGCGATGCCGGTGGGACTGGCGACGGGAGGCTGGCCCAGAGGCTGCAGGACCCGTCCCCCCTTGTCCTTCTCCAGTCCCAGAGGGGTTCTTGCTGCTCCCTGGGGCTTCGGGGCCCAGGATGGCAGTCTGTTCCTGAGAACTGCCAGCACCTTTCCGGGACCCTCGGAGCCCCCTCTCTTTCTTGCTCTTCTTCCTGGTCAGGGGGAGGCCCTCAGCACCACTCCTGGAAGGCACGACCCCCACAGGAGGCTTCTGAGGGCCGGGGGCCTGGTCTGGGCCATGCTGCCCCCTCGCCTGGTCTGTGGCCATGTGGGGAGGGACGCCAGGGCTCAGGGATGCAGTTCCAGGGAGCACCCTTGGTTCTCGGGAACCATAAAGCTGCTTAGGCACCCCTACAGTGAGAGCTGATGGCCTCGGATGAGACTTGAGGGGGATTAGGGTAAGTGAGGCAGGCAGCCCAGGCCCTAATCCTAGCCCTCTGCCTGGGGACAGAGCCAGATGGTGAAGAGAACTGTCCTCAGCCACAGCGGTGCCAGGACACAGGGTCACAAGGAGCATCAGACTCTGGCTCTGCCACTCATGAGCCGGGAGGCCCAGCAATTTCACCTCTCAGTTGCCTTGTCTATAAAATGGGGACCATATTGCTGAAGAGTCAGGAACTCTTTGGTCTCGACTCCAGTCCCCAACTCCAGTTGCATGACATGGGCAGGACTCGGCTAAGAGAGGACAAGGGAAGTCATGTCAGGAGGCAGAGTGCGGGCAAAAGCTGAGGGGTGGGAAAGGATACGACGAGTTGCCCACCGCAGCCCCTCATGGGGGGACATCGTGGCCGGAGCGGAGGGTGTGTGAAATTGAGGAAGCGAGGCCAGATCACAGAGGCCTTGATGCCAAAGTGAGGGACATGGGGGAGATATCAGAGGAGGTGGACCATGGTTGGGGGTGGGCGGTACCCAGCATCTGCCCGGAGGCAGCAGGGCCAGGGTGAGAAAGTTTTAGCCATCTGGCTCTGCCAGGGATGGGGTGGCCTGGCTGGTCACTCGGCTCTGCTAAGCCGGGGTTAGGGTTTCCCAGCGAGCAGCCCCATGAATGATTGATGTCTTCTCAGCTTGGGTTTCAGGCCCGCCGCCTTAGCGCCGCCAGGCACCAGGCAGCAGGCCCCGCCGGCGTGGGGCCCTGCAGATGGCTGGACCACTGTGCAGGCAGGCACGCCCTGCTCCTTCCGGCCAGCAGCCCGCACCTCACAGGTAAGCCAGGCCTCACCCGCTGGGGCTCAGGGGAGCCCAGGGCTCTGAGCCAGCAGAGGCTGGAGCTTGCAGAGCGGGGTCTGCCTGAGGAAGAGCCCTAGGGGAGAGGAGAGCCGAGGGGCTGGAGTCGCGGGCCACAGGCAGGAGCCAGCCTTTGGGGGGCATCTACTTCCTCCCCTGACTCAGCGCTGCCACCAGCACTCTCTCCACCCTCGGAGGGAAACTCCCTCAGCCCGTGAGGGAAGGTGGGGGCAGAGAGGGAGCGGCATCAGGCCTCTGGGTCCCAGCCACCCTAACCTCATCACACTGCTGAGCCCCCTGTCTGGCGGCCTCAGAGGACCGCTTTCTGCCTGAGCTGTGAGAATGTGGACAGGGCCACAGGTGGGAGTCGAGGATGATGAAGAGGCTCCAGCTGCTTCCAGGACAGGTCCTGGCCTGAGTTGCAGACCTCCCCCTGAATTCATGAACCGCACTTGCTGGGGGAGACAGGCCTTCTCTGGCCCAGGCTCCTGGGACTGCTACAGGCCCATGGGGCCCTGAACCACCCCCTCTGGGAATCTTAAAACACTTGAACCGCAGGATACCAGGTGGAAAGGGGCCTGCAGCAATGTGACCAAGCAGTTCGCACAAACTGTCCTCCCTGGAGCCCCAGGGGTTCTCCCCCTCCTCTAATCTGAGCACTCCCTTCTAGTTCATGTGGGAGCTCCACTGTAATATTTCATTTGAAGAAAACATTCACCAGCTTTTAAAATATGTTTGAAAGCCAAGTCTACTTGGGCATGCTGGGATTCCGTGTGGCAGAATGGTTAGGTCTGAGGTTCAGGCCTGGTGCCTCTGTCTTATCTCTGACCTTGGGCAAGTCACCGAGCCTCTGAACCTTCCCCTTCTCACCTGTAAAACGGATTGTATGAGGACTAGGTGCCATCATCTACTTAAAGGCCCTGGCAGAGGCTAACTACCCAAAAGGTGATGACGATGGCTCAGAGAGGGACAGTGACGTGCCTGGAGATAACACAGCACCCTCTCTCTCATACTCAGTCCCTCATGATTTCATTGGTTCCTCAGGCCCCCGCTCTGTGGCCGACAGCATACTGGGGACCTCAGACGGACACTGCGATGGAAGCTGACCCGGGTGCCGCTAGCCTCGGGCCCCGCACAGAGCTGGACGATGAAGACTACTATCCCCAGGGCGTCTGGGACACGGTCTTCCTGGTGGCCCTGCTGCTCCTGGGGCTGCCGGCCAACGGGCTCATGGCGTGGCTGGCTGGCTCGCAGGCTCGGCAGGGAGCGGGCACGCGGCTTGCCCTGCTCCTGCTCAGCCTGGCCCTCTCGGATTTTTTGTTCCTGGCGGCAGCAGCCTTCCAGATCCTGGAGATCCAGGGCGGAGGGCACTGGCCGCTGGGGACGGCCGCCTGCCGCTTCTACTACTTCCTGTGGGGCGTGTCTCACTCCTCCGGCCTCTTCCTGCTGGCGGCCCTCAGCATGGACCGCTGCCTGCTGGCACTGTGCCCACACTGGTACCCGGGGCACCGCCCGGCCCGCCTGCCCCTCTGGGTCTGCGCCGGGGTCTGGGTGCTGGCCACGCTCTTCAGTGTGCCCTGGCTGGTCTTCCCAGAGGCCGCCGTCTGGTGGTATGACCTGGTCATCTGCCTGGACTTCTGGGACAGCGAGGAGCTGCCGCTGCGGATGCTCGAGATCCTGGGGGGATTCCTGCCTTTCCTCCTGCTGCTCGTCTGCCACGTGCTCACCCAGGCTGCCGCCTGCAAGACCTGCTGCCGCCGCCAGCCAAGACCCACGACCAGCCGTGGCTTTGCTAATGTGGCCAAGACCATTTTGTCAGCCTACGTGGTCTTGCGGCTGCCCTACCACCTGGTGCAGCTGCTGTACCTGGCCTTCCTGTGCGACATCTACCCTGGCTACCTGCTCTGGGAAGCCCTGGTCTACTCCGACTACCTGATCCTGCTCAACAGCTGCCTCAGTCCCTTCCTCTGCCTCCTGGCCAGTGCCGACCTCCGGGCCCTGCTGCGCACCGTGATCTCCTCCTTTGCGGCAGCTCTCTGCGAAGAATGGCCCGCCAGCTTCACACCGGCCGAGCCACAGACCCAAGTGGATCCTGGGGGTCAGACTTTGCCAGGGCCTATGGCCGGGGCCCAACCCCAGGTGACCTCCACGGCCCAGCCACAGGCAGACCCCACAGCACAGCCACACTTGGATTGTGTGGCCCCCCCACAGGTGGACCCCACAGCACAGCCACAGTTGGATTCTGTGGCCGCCCCACAGGTGGACGCCACAGCACAGCCACAGTTGGATTCTGTGGCCGCCCCACAGGTGGACCCCACAGCACAGCCACAGTTGGATTCTGTGGGCCCCCCACAGGTGGACCCCACAGCACAGCCACAGTTGGATTCTGTGGCCCCCCCCACATTCAGATTTTGTGGTCCAGCCTCAGCTGAACTCCTCAGCTCAGCCACAGGTGAACCATGAGGCCCAGCCACAAGTGAGCCCCTAAGGCCCAGACCCCCGGACCCGCTGCCGGCTCAGCCCCCAGCCCCTGTGATGAAGTCTCTTCTGCTCCATCCACAGATCCCACCCCAGAAGCCCCTGAGAACCCAGCTGTGCCTGCTGTCTCTGAGGGAGAGAACCCCAGCAGTGTCCCCCCAGAGGAGGCCCCTGGGACAGGCCCCACGTGAGGTTCCAGGAAAGCCCAAGCCCATCAGGGCAGTGGAAGAGCTTGAGGGAGACAGACTAACCAGCCGGCCAGAGAGGAGGGGAGCCGTGGAGGAAGTCATCATGGAAAACCCCACCCGGTCCCCTGGGCCTGGCAGGAGGACTTTGGGGAAGTGAAAATGAAGCACCAAAAAGTCCCCAGCAGTTTGCCATGAGCGTCTTGTCCCTACCCAGGTCCCACTCCGGTTTTCCACGCTTGCCCCTACACCCAGTGGTCCAGCAGTCAGAGCTGCTGTTGCTCTCCTGCTGGGCTCTGCCCCTAGGCAGCCTGGACCCCACCGACAGTCTCCCCCTAGCCTCAGTCCTACAGGAGAAAGCCAGCAGGGGTGACGTCCCAGGGCTTGAGCTGACCTCCCTTTGATCCTTCCCTCCCCCTCTCCTCCCTCCCCCTCTAACTCAGCAGGAGGATGCCAACAGAGGAAGTCCCTGCAGAGAAGGCAGGCATTCAAGAGCCAGCAGGAACCTGGGGCCCTAGGAGCGCACACAGGCTGGCCTGGCCCCCTGCCCCCAACAGGTCTCGCACACAGGCTGGCCTGGCCCCCTGCCCCCAACAGGTCTCGCACACAGGCTGGC